TATATATATAAACCTAGCATAAAAAGTAAGGAAATTAGTGCTTGGTAGATTATTTCTTTGTTGTAAAAATGCTTCTTTGCAATAAATCTTATATTGTTGAAAATAGTTAAATTCCCTTTTAGATTGTGCCACATTTGTAAGGAACATGCATTATTTGTAGGATGAGCAGTATGTGGTTTGCATACATGAAAAATGTGCCAAATCTCCACCAAACAGCTTATTTTGCTGTTGCTAGTTTTGAGCCTCCGGTTCCCCCAAGTGCTGCCAATAAGATAAGACTGTTGTCTTAACTTGGAGCTGCAGCCATTTATGTTCAGTCCTAAATTTGCCTTATTAAATCCCTCCAGAAGGATCTGAAATTTTGTAAACAATCCAATTTATTTTTGTTCTTTCTAACTCTGTCTTGCCTTTCACTCATTAAAAAGTTTTGACTGAAAAAGCCAAAGGGTTGAACCAGTCAGAGGTCAAACTTGGAGAACAGATACTATATTTCGGATCTACTCATGATTAATCAGGGTTGTCTGTGTCTGCTTGTGTCTCATCCAGTCGTTTTATACAACTGCACATTTTGTATTACTGAGTAGAAAAGAGCAAGTTTAAAAATCCAACACTGAACAACTGCGTACATATAATTTCAGTTTTAGAACCTTTCACCTCTTTTTCTTGATCTGACTCCAAGTTTGAGCATCCAGATGTTTAGTCCAGCTGTGTCCCTTCAGTCCAAAATGATTTGACAGCACTTCACAAACACACAACTGCCTCTGATCTCTGCAGAAAATAAAACAGAAGCGCAAAGAAAACACAACTCCAGCAGTCATGACGAGCGACCGAAAACATCCATCGAAAATTTCCCAAAAGGCATTTCTGATAAGAATAGGTGAAATTTATAAACATTAATAACCAAACCTCTGTTGACCCGCCATTCTGTCTGCCTCCAGCTTCCTTTGACCTGCCGCAGACTGTTATCATGACAACCATTCATGCTCCCACATCATGTTTATAGTTTCCATAACAACACAAAGCAGGACTCTGTGTGTCGATGAAAGGTCCAATTTAGCCATGTTTGGAGAAAAAAAAAGATTTACTTGTCTGTGAGCATCGGATGTAGTGTGAGTCTGACAACAAGCAACAATGAATCATGTGCGTGCTCACAGGCTCCTGTAGTCTGGACCCACTGGGCCCAGGTGGGAAAAACTGTTGCAATCAAGTCACGTGTGGCGGGTAGAAGGACCATAAAGTCCAGGCTGTGAGTGAAGTCAGGTGATCTTTAGTTGAAGAGAAGCAGAAGCTGATCTGGGGTTAAACTATGAGACATGAACTGAAGGTCATTTTTCTTTAAATGTCCCAATAGATATCCACAAGGTGGTGCACAAAGCTTTCTAACATGTTCTGGTTGTTTCCTATCAAATATGGACCAGTCCAGCAACTTTTCAGCTWATCACAGAATCACTGTTTTATATTTCTTTTATGAATTATGACAGGAAGAATTTAGTGATTCTTAAAACATTTAAATAATACTTTTAATAGCTGATTGTAACGATAAGATGTGTGCAGATTCTTCATTCAGAAACTCTTAAATGAAGCTAATTGAATTAACAGCTTGATAAAAGTTCATTTTTCACAAGAAAATAGATTTGGAGAATGTTTGAAAGTTTTTAAAACAATAGTTTAAAGGCACATGTTGGATACCTCAGTCGTCAACGATGTTCCTTGTGACCCATCAGGCAAAGTTTTAGATATTTCCCTGCTTCAACACATGTGAATGAAACGAATGAGCGATTGACAGGCTTCTGCTAAACTCGGTGACAATCTGAGCAGGTAATTTAACTATTTGAATCAGGTGTGGTGAAGCAGGGAAACMGCTGAAATATGCAGGACAGTGGATCGCAGGGAACAGGGTTGAAGAGCTCTAACCTTAATATCTTTCTTGTAGAATATTTTCTTACTTTTGATTTAAGGAACAAATATCACTGCCTTCAGGTTTGAGCTTAAAATGTTCCTGGCTCAGGTGATCTTATAACTGACTGGCACAAGAGATGTGACCCAACCAGTATCAGAAAATGGTCAAACTGACCACTGCACATTTTTTGTGGGTTGGTTAATTTAAAACAACAACAACAACAACAACAACAACAACAACAACAACAACAACAACAACAACAACAACAACAACAACAACAACAACAACAACAACAATGAAGTGATGCTGGCCCAAATGTGCACTGGCACAGATTATTATCCCTGGCAGTGATCCATTACTTGAACTAGCAGTCAGCTCATGAATCTGACCATTAAACTGCCTTTTTTTCCAATTGTAGTCATTCCTACAACAGGTAAGATAATGACTGTTCATAACTTCTCCACAGAACCCCACTTTAAAAAGCCTGAACTATGTCTTTAAGATAATAAAAGCAGCTTCACACATAAGCATTATAGAAGAAAACATATTTGTAATGAACACCTCTAAAAGGATCAAAATTTTCTCTCTGTAAAGTGTAAAAGTGCTGTTTATAACATTTATGAGCTGAGAGGCTKAAGTTTTTCAGCAGAACATTGTGTGAAAGTGATCCGCTCAGTGGACTGGCTGGCCTCGGTGGTTAGCAGCAGTGCGTCAGCCTGTGGTGCGCCTCTGCGCTCTGATTGGCTGACTCCGCGGTGATGCTGTCTGCATCCTGCTTCTGCCAGGACCGGGAGGGGAGGTGGAGGCAGGGCTCAGAGATCATCACTAAGCAGAATCTTTTTGCTTCTTCTTCTTCTTCCTTTTTTTGCTTTTGAAATGTATTCATCCATTCCCTTCATGTGAAAGAGTCCTGAGCTGTGGACATGCGTGCAGCCGCAGCAGCAGAGGAGGCTGCCGCCGCCAGCTGCTGAGCGGCTTTTCCTTCACGTCCTCTGACCGCGCAGACTCACACAGAGGAAAAAAGTCTCACATTTCATGCACGCTCACCGGCTCAACTCCGAAACAAGGCAGCATGACAGCCAACGAGTCGCAGAGCATCCTGTGCTACCAGGTAAAGTCCGTCCCTCCGATCCGTCACGCGCACGCGGCGCCGGAACATCTGTGTAATCTGAGCCGAGACAAACTTCAGCCTCTCATCCAACTCTTTAAGKGCAAACGTGTGAGGGCAGCGTGGAGTGGAGTTATGTTACCTGCAGACAGGATGGAGGTAGTTGGTAATCTGAGGGGTTTATTAACACGTTTCTGAGTTTGAGAYTAAAGTAATCTGGATCATTGATCAGATTATGGATGTTCACGCAGCGCGGCTCGATGCTCATTAAAATAACTGCTTTTCCTCGGGGGTCACGTGTGTGTGAGGTAGAAGAGCTGCTTTATTTTAAGAGTGGACAGCGTGTTCCTTATTGATCAGTTTGTTCAGTGATTACCCTCAGATGACCTTGGTGCCATTCTGTCACTAGATTGTCCATTTCCTAAAATGTTCATCCTTCTTCTGTGTCCTGGAGTAAAGAGGACAGAGTGTGTGGTTTAAAGATCCCCCACCAGATCAGGCTCTAACCAGTGGCTTCTTCTAATACACCTAATGACCACTTTAGGAGTATGATCCCGGTGATGCAGCACGATAGTTTAATGGACTTGTTGCAGACTTGCTCCAGCRGTCACATCATCAGGGTGATTTATGATCCCGTCCTGTCTGTGAGCAGGAGACAGGTGGAGGAGAAGCAGCTGGGACGTCTCTAACAGGGACAGACAGTTAGAGGAGGGTTACATAAGCTCGGTGTCACTCAGGTTGTCTACAGCACCTGTGCACGTCTACCCTACACCTGGATGTCTGGATTCAACAAGCATGCCACGTGAAAAGGACAAAACGTTCAGTTCGTGTCAAAAATCGGTTTGATTTTTCATGTCAGAGTTTTCGACAAAGATCAACTGATTCTGCTCGAACCTTGTGAATAATTATGTGAAAGATGTACGAGTTATAAATGACTCTCAATCACACCAAATTTCAGCGCAATATTTGTGAAACTGACAGAATTATTGTCATTTGTGTGTTTGCTGCTGGCCATTTTTAATTGAGTTGATTTCAAAAGAGAAAGTTGTTAATCATCCAGCGATTATTTCCTGTAAGTAAAATCCCTTCTGTTGTTTATAAAATATTTTGTTAACAGGTAGACGGAGTTGACTCCAATAGTTAATGGTGATATTTTAAACAATCATCTTGCCCAATTTGTTAGTATTCTGGATGGAGATCAATATTAGCCACAACCACACTGAATATTAGRTCAATATCTGTTAAAKTGACTGAATTAGCCATTTTTGTGTTTGCTTAATGGATTTGCTTGTGACAACAATCATGTGGTTGACTCCAAAAGTTAATCAGTTGTATATGTGGGTCTAATGATTACTTTCTGAGCATTTCATTTAAACGTCAAGAGTTTCAGGAAATATTTTGTTAACAGACAGGTGAAAAGGTGCTACATTGAAGGAGAAGGTCAAATGTTTTATTTTAAGTAAAATTCTGTGGATCTTCAAACTAAATATTGCATACAGAATCTACAAGTAAGGCTGTAATTCTTTATAACCTTTCCACAAAACCCCACTTTAAAAGATTCAAACTATCCCACATATCAAAATGTGTCTGGTCCAGTTCTGGCCCACACAAAGTACCAACAGCCAGCCCTGGTACTGCAAAGAATGATGGCCCTTTAGTGGCCCAGATATGATTTGCCAGAGGTGTTCCATGAATGGGCCAGCACCACATAAACCAAACCAGAACAGGGCCAGTTGTGTTCTGTCATCTTCATATAAAAAAACACTTGGAGATGATTTTAAGTGACTCTGAACCTTCAGGAGCACTCTGGATTATTGTAGTGTTCAGGCTGTGAATTTTGTAATTAACTTGTTAAAYTAATTTAACCAAGAACATTTCTGTCATCACCTAAAATGGTTATTGACAAACCACTGAATCACACTTCAGTATGTTTATATGACTTCTGCTTGGCATCAGTTTGAAACCATCTAAAACACAGAAGTACTGTTGGTTTGTATCACGCTTTGACTTTTATTCATTCACCGGAATAATTGCACTTTCAACACAACATGATGCACAAATTTGCAGAAAGTGCAAAAACAGATCCTCATATTCATAGTGTCTGTGTGTGTGTGTGTGTGTGTGTGTGTGTGTGTGTGTGT